ATGTTTCTTTACTCCACTCAGATACACACGCAATATTACCCGAACAACAAAACATAGAAGGGTATAAGAGGTGTGGGTATCATTACTGTAATATTAATGATGGTGTGAGAGGTGGATGGTAACCGGTGGAGGTTGTGGTCAGTCGGGAGTAGGTCAGCAGGAGCCGTCGTGAGACCTCGGCTCCAACCTCCACGCCAGTAGCCAACTTACTACGGCCCTGAAAGAACGCTTCTCAAGTGAGTTTCCTCCGTTTGGTTGCCTGTTATGCTGTGGGTTGTTACACCTCAGTGATGTTGCTTTTCTGAAACACATTACTCTGATGTGACTCATTTTTATTTAATCAATTTAACATTTTCAACACATGTAAATATTATTTGTCAATCATGTCATAAAATAATTATTAGTTGACCCAATCCTGTCAACAAAACCCGTTCTGGTGACAGCACTTAGTAAGATTACCAAGGTTATTTGGTGCTCAAGGTCATCGTGGCCTTAGACTGTGTTTATATTAGATACACATATAATATTTTTACGCATTCCATATAGATTTGGCTTTCGTGGAACTGTGTTAGGGTGATGTAGCATGATTGGCATTTTCTTCTTTGGTCCTCACATTTCGTTAAGCCCCGAGTCTCGCCAAGGACTGTCGTAGTGGGACATACACAACATAGCATCTACACCTCACACTCGCAGATCAAGCAAGGTACAGTCAACAGAGGCGCGGGTACTGGGAGACTCCAACACTGTCAGCATCGCAAGTAGTGATCAACCAGGCCCGTCCTCCCCTTCATATGTTTCTTGGTACTTCTCTAAATTGAAGGCTGTTACAAAAAGATAAATTTATAGCTTTATCACACTGCTTTTATATTTTCTTTTATTGTCATTCAGGATATAGCTATAGTGTCTGTGGATGTTATATGATAATCAAATGTAGATATAGACACAAACGTTAAACATTTAAAGACTTACATGAATGAAATATCAAAAGTAAAAGTTTACCTTAAAATAATATCTGCTCACTGAGACATAGTGATGTGTGACTTTGCTTTTCAAGTATTCTTTACAGCCATTGACAAAATTCTTCTGCACGTTAGAGGTTACGATCGAATCTGAATAAAATATAATGCCAACACTGGTTCCGACCCAATCAATAATAAGTAACGGCGTTGTTGCCTTACTCTCCTTGTGTCTTATCACAACAACATGCCATTGACAGCTTGGATGTCTCTTTTTAAATTAATCGTAAGAATCTGTTGCTATATATCACCATTCACAAGTCAAATGATTGTCAATTTGAGGAGCGCTGACAGTAACCAGAAAATCGTAGCTAAAAGGAAAGTGTTCACTATTGTCAAAGGCATATTTTTTTGTGAAATAGATTGTTAAAGGTGGTATTGTGGGTCTTATTGAGGCAGTGACGGTTATTGAGGTTAGTTACCTGTTATTGCTGTTCGTGGTGATGCGTCTTTTACAAGCGTATGGTTGGTACTTGTGAGGGTAGTAAACTATAATCGTAGCGAGGAAACGGAGAAACGATGGGGTGTTTATGCTTATATAAACGAGTGTGTATCTGTTCGCGGAAAAAAATTGTAATAATGACCTTTACTTGTGATAGCTGTAGTCTATTTACCTCCTACGATGGTACAAATTACGCGTACAGTACTCAGTGATTTATTTTCTCAGCTGCGAGAGAAAATCCCAAGGCAGAAGTGAGGAAGCTGACAAGTGATCTCTCATGTTTAATGCCACCACAAGGTATACTTTCATAGGATGAGACTTCTGACTACTGACCTTTAGGAGACGTAAAAAAAACTTACCAATTAGAAAGTTACAGATCGCCAGGAAAGCCAAAAAAAAGTGATAGTAAGAAGAGGATCAGTGTGGGTGTATGATAATAATAGGGGATATATCACTGGAGTAAAACCATGAAAAGAAGAATACTGAGCGACAGACATAACAGGGAGAGCAGATGAGGTTTGATAAGACACTCCCATTTAACCCATCCAGCACGATGACTAACACATTGAATATGACAACACTGTACTCAAGGGACTTACGAAATCGTACTCAAAGGGTAAAGTTATCGTACTCAAGGGTTTATATCATAGTTCTGAAGGGGTTAAGTCATCTCACTGAAGGGGTTATGAATGCACGTGACTACCACAAAGTATAAGACCCTGCTAAGAGATGGGTGGGGACCTCATGAGTAAAGCTCTGGGAAAACACCCTGGAAATTGGTCACTGATATACAAGGAAAATAAATTAAGGGAATAAATTCAATTCTGAGGAAAATATTGTTTACCTTCGATAGAAATACAGTCGTTTACTGAGAAAATTAATGCTGTGCTAAGGGGGTTAAGTTGTTGGGCTAAAGAGGTTGAGTGTCGTACTCAGAGGGTCAAGTCATCGTACTCAGGGTTAAGCTTCCGTACCTAAAATGCATAAGGGGTCGACGTAGTACTTAAGATTAGAAATAATGATTATGCATTAAACTATTGTATTCATTAGGATAAATTACCGTACTCAAGGGTCACTTAGTACTCAAGACATACAATCACTGCACTGAAGACTAAGGGTACTCCAGTTGCTTTTTTTTGTCGTACTCAGGTGGATGACTATTTGTATCCAAGGAATCCATTGATTGTTCAAAGACGTCTACACATCTTATTCGAGGGAGTTAAGTTGATGCCTTCAAGTGTACAGAAAGTTGTCCAAGTGACCCTCTTAGAGTTTCATTTTATTGCAGTGATCCCAGTGTGTTCCTCATGCTGTAACCACAATGTGTTCCTCATACTACACCCGGTGTGCTCCTCATACTGTAGCCACAGTGTGTTCCTCATGCTGTAACCACAATGTGGTCCTCATGCTGTAACCACAATGTGTTCCTCATACTACACCCAGTGTGCTCCTCATACTGTAGCCACAGTGCGCCAGCCTCTCAAAACCGTTGCTTTTCCGCCTCTTCCCTGCCAAGCAAGTCATATACCTACAGGGTCCATAGAATAGTGCACAGAAGGCGACCTCATAATCTTAAGCAGTCACACCTGGGCCTCCGAGGAACAGGTTCCTGGGAGGTGACCTACATGTGGTCCTCGCGACCCGCAACACCGTTCTTCCGAGCACCTACATAACTGACCTCGTGTCTGGCAGTCCTCAATACTTTCAAAACCACCAGCAGCAGCAAGTAAGAATAACTGGGTTCACCTGAGGAGGTCACTAAGGCAAGGTTGTTAAAGATTCACATCAGCTTATTTTGCCAGAAACCTGTCACCGAAATATCGTGACTGGCTACCGTTTAAATATGTTAAAAGGTGATGCTGTGTGTCAAATAAACATCAGAAGGTGAATAGTAAAATTTTTCGTTCAGGACTCACGTGTTAATTTACAACAATGTAAACTAAGAATTTAAGAAATGTTGAGTTGTGTTCAGCTGCAATTGGAAAAAATCCGTCAATTGTGACAGACGTTTTCGGTCAGGCCGAGAAAAGGCAGAAATTTGGTTCGTAACGCATCAAATAAAATATTTTGATGAAAATCACAGACCAAAGAAATATCAGGAACGACAGCAAGAGGGACAAAGATTCTTATGCCCAACATGTGCACTCATGACAGTTATTATGAAAGTAATACTTATCTACAGTGTAGAAATATGGAAGCTGTCCACAGAGACCACGTAGGGATCCCTTTTGAGAAAACGGAGTTCTGCAGTGTAAGAGTTCTGTACGACAATGTTTCCAGTGTTATGTTGCCGGCGGCAGAGCAGGGTGGTACCAGACATGGCGTTCCGCGTTCCTCCAACGTTTTCTAGGTCACCCAGAGTCAGGACGCTGACCCCAAACGCACCAAGCCGGCCGGGGTTGGTGAAGAAGTATGAGGGGTACGGAGGGGGGGGGAGGTGTTCAAAGGATGCGTAGGAGTGACCTCCTTCCCCAGATTCCTTGTGAGAGGAAGTTCTGCCGCCGGGCATTTGGTCATCTACTTGTTCATCATTTTATTTTTAGACTGTCACTCTGTAATACAATGACTCAGTACATAAGAACATAAGAAAATAAGGAGTCTGCAATAGGCCGGTTGGCCTGTGCATGGCAGCTCCTGTCGAGAGTTACTACCACTCTCTATCATCCACGAATCTATCTAGCCTCCATTTGAAACTTTCCAGTACAGACTAGTCTGTACTCACCCCTGAAGATGTGAATTACACGAAAGCGCTTGGGAACTTCGTGTTTTCTTCTTTCCTTGTGGTTATCAGCATATATATATATATATATATATATATATATATATATATATATATATATATATATATATATATATATATATATATATATATATGTATATATATATACGCGAGTATCTAAGGGGTGCGGCCACCTCTGGCTGGTAACGTTTAGGACAGTGCTACTCAAAGTGTGGTCCGCGGACCGGTGCCGGTCCGTGAGCCATCGTCTGCCGGTACGCGGAGAGTTTTCAGAAAAGAAAGAAACAATAGTCACGTTCCACACCACGTGACACTGCCGGGACATCTGACTCGGTCTTTTTTTTTTTACATTTTCATTGTAGTTTTTTTATTTATTATGGCTATATTATTCATTACTCACTCATGTTAAAAGTCATTGCTATGCAACTAACGAATGCGATATAATGAACAGCAAAACAGCGAACTGAAATACGTATAACAACACCTTCATGATGATGTGGCGTTTGACTCTGTGGGAACCACACCTGAGGATATCAATAGGGCGCATCACCTTGTGTTGCCAGAATTGCCACGTTTCTCGGCCACCAGTTACGCCATATCCACCCAAAACATAAATCTTTTTATTTTAAGTATGGTAGTTATTTAATTTCGGATAAAATAAATGTATGCATCCCATTAAAAGAAATGGCCGATTTTTTACTATGCGTGCCAGCCGTGAAGGGTGTCACACAGCTGGCAACCCTGCTATTCCACACGTGTGGATCAGCAGTCTGTGATGTCAGGTCACAGGTCAGTGGTTAGTTACCATCAAGAAGTGGAACAGAGAGCATCATACGGGTATCTGCGTGTTTGTCATTTGGGACCCCATCCCAACCCACTGATCTGAAAATGTAAGTACTAATAATCTTAAAGGCCAGTTCACACTATTCCTGTGTAAATTTGAAAAACAAAAAAGTATTGTGGACCGGCCTTAACATTCCACCAATTGGCAACAGTCATAGTCGAAGCAGGCGAAGACCTTAATGTTGTGTCTCTGCAAAATGTCATCAAAGAACACTTGAATAATTTGGCAGATCGTTTTAAGCATTACTTTCCAGCAGAAGAAGATCCACGGAAAGGGACTGGATGGATCCGAAATCCGTTTATGCCACTGAGAGATGACTTTTTCTTAAGTGTCACTATGGAGGATAAATTGTTGGAGCTGGCTGCTGACGAAGGATTGAAGATAAGTTTCGAAACTTCAACATCACTTGCATCTTTTTGGATAAAAGTGAAAGCAGAATATCCTGAGCTTAGTGAAATTGCTCTGAAAACTCTTCTCCCCTTTCCTTCAACCTACCTCTGCGAGACTGGCTTCTCAACAATGAGTGTCATTAAGACAAAATACAGGAATTGTATGGATGTTCATTCTCCATTGCGCGTGGCACTGTCCTCAATTGAACCACGATTGGATAAGCTGACAAAGAAGAAGCAGGCTCACTCTTCACATTAGTAAAGGTTAAGGTTTTGACATGAATATTATTGTGTTAATTGTGTTATTGTGTTAATTGTTATTACTGTGTTAAGTTGTTTCCAAAATCAATATAAATTAAAAATGTGTCAACTTTTATATTCATTATATTTTTCCTGTATAAAACAATATTACTACGAATGTTCAAATAATATTTTCTCTGATCGTAAACAATTAATTGTATGGCACAAATATGGTACTGGTCCCTGGCACACTGGGAAGACTTGTTACGTCAATGATGATTGGCCTTAGAATGAATAAGACATCATGTCTTCATGTTTAGTACAGATAGTCTCAAAATGCCCCTGAAATAGGACATATCTCAAAAGATTTTCCTGGGGAGGGGGGGGACCTATAGGCCCCGGGATTGGCTCGCTTCGCTCGCCGGTCCGTGGCACATTGAAAAAAAACCATGCCGGTCCGCTACATCAGATAGTTTGAGAAGCGCTGGTTTAGGAGACCCTTCGCCTCAGAGAAGAGAACATAGGGGGTGTTCAAGGAAAATTGGAATCATTTTCCTAAAAGTCTAGGTGGATAATGTCTTCTCCTACCACCCCTATTTAGTCTTTATTTTTAATTATTTTACACCGTTTTTATTTATTCGTATTTACATACGTATTCACATCACATTTCGGAGACTCCCTCGACCTCCTCAGGTGAAGGACGATCTGTAGTCTCTGGAACCCAACTCATTCAGCTCAATGACAAAAGATGATCCTTTCAACCATCACTTCCACAAGAGATGCAAAGGCTATTATCACACTCTTAGAGCAGAAGAGAAGTATCCAGAATCCATAAATTATTTGGTGGTAAATATGCCGAATTTAACCAAAACACTGCGGTTTTATCTGTGGGTTCTTATAAGAGGCATTGATAACTTTAATAGAGAAATCATCCTGGTGATTGTACAACCAATCTTAAGAAAGTACATCTTGTCTCACATCAACCTTGATGTGACACACACACACACACACACACACACATATATATATATATATATATATATATATATATATATATATATATATATATATATATATATATACCTTACATACATACATACATACATACATACATACATACATACATGCATACATACATACATACATACATACATACATACATACATACTGATAATCACATAGAAAAAAGAAAACACAAAATTCCCAAGTGCTCTCGTGTAATTCACATCTTCAGGGGTGAGTACAGACTGGGTAGTAGTTTATAACAAGACCAATATATACAGTAAAGGAGAGTGAGAACAAGTCCCCATGGTAATTTGAGCCGTTGTTCTTAAAAAAATTCCTCTCACGTGCACCGCTATGAGAAGATAGGGTCTCGCCAGTTGTTTATTTACATTTGATTGGTGTCCGGCGAAATTTACTTCTTCGTTTCCTGCTGTCTCTCAATATGATTCATAGCAGTTCACAACAATGTCGACAGGAACTTAAAAATCCAAAGTACTTGAAAATCCTATCATTTACCGTCTATGCTTTCCGGGTTTCCTTTGGCCAATCTATGGTAGGCAGGAGGTTGAGTGAGCAGCTTGGTGTGTATAGATTCAGGACTTATGTGTACAGTATATAGATTTGTGTTTATGTGTGCGTATTATGTTTGTTATAATTTATCCTTTATTTTCCTCTCTACAGGATGAGGTTACTATGGTGGGTCCTGCTTGCGGGACTCGTGATGGCAGCAGCGGGGCAAGCCGAGCAAGGTAAGTGACCACCACCATCACCGCCCCTACACCTCACTGCCCCACTTACAACAATCCTTACGCTCACAAAAAAAATAAATAAATAAAATAATGTTAATATTACTAATAATAACAAAATAAATAAATTAAACCCTCACTAAACTAGCTCAATCAATAAATCAACGTAATAATCATTATTCAACATAACAAGCAACCAAATTAAAGTGTTGTTAGGTTAGTGTGATTATTAGCCGTAGTTACTGTATTCTGCTACTTAAAGTAAAACGTGATTGTAGAAATCCAGACACACGCAGCTGACTCCAAAAGTGATGGTGCATTTGATAACCCTGCGACCCTGACCTTTCGTCACAAATAAAAACCTAGCACAGTTTCCAGAAGTTCATAAGGTATATAACGACAGTATAGAAAATATGTTGATGAATATCAATATTACTAGTAACGATGTGCTTAAAGTAATTAACAAACTGAAGCCTCATAAATTGCCTGGTCCAGACGAGGTATATGCTAGAATATTAAAAGAATGTAGAGATGAGTTGAGTAATCTATTAGCAGTTTTATTTCATAAGTCATTAGAATCGGGCCTAGTGCCAGAAGCTTGGAAACTTGCAAATGTAGTTCCGATTTTCAAAAAAGGTGATAAATCAATTGCATCAAATTACCGTCCCATTAGTCTCACGTCAATCATAGCAAGTTGCTAGAGTCAATTATTGCTACGAAAATCAGAAGCCACCTTGAAACATTCAACTTAATTCATTCTTCTCAGCACGGGTTCACCCAGGGACGTTCTTGTCTCACAAATTTGCTTAGCTTTTTCTCAGAAGTATATGAAGCGGTAGATAATGATAAGTCATATGATATAATTTATTTAGCTTTCAGTAAAGCATTCGATAGAGTCCCTCATGAGAGATTGATAAGGAATGTAGAAGCACATGGAATAGGTGGATCATTATTAAAATGGATTAGGTCATTGTTAACTGGTAGGAAACAAAGTCAGCATAAATGGATTTAAGTCAGACTGGGGTGCGGTCAAAACCGGAGTTCCCCAGGGATCTGTATTAGGCCCTCTGCTGTTTGTTATATTCATTAATGATCTTGATTTAGGTATAACTAGTAGGATTAGTAAATTTGCAGATGATACCAAAATGGGGAGAGTGATAAATTCAGACAGTGACTTTGAACACCTTCGAAGAGATCTAGATACCTTACATGAGTGGTCAGTAGACTTGCAAATGAATTTTAATACTGATAAATGCAAGGTACTACAGATAGGGAAGACGAATACAAACGTTAAGTATAAACTAGGTAACACGGAACTAGAAAACTCAGATTGTGAAAAAGATCTAGGTGTATTTGTTAGCAACGACTTGAAACCTAGAAAACAATGTATTAGCGTTCGCAACAAGGCAAACAGGATTCTTGGGTTCATATCTAACAGAACTGCTGACGTTATCTTGAAACTTTACCTAGCATTAGTGAGGCCACACATGGATTATGCGGTTCAATTCTGGTGTCCTTATTATAGAATGGACATAGATTCTTTGGAGAGTACAAAGAAGAATGACAAAAATGATCCATAATATTAGAAACCTTCCATATGAAGAAAGACTGAAAAGCTTAGGCTTGCATTCATTAGAGAGGCGTAGAGTTAGGGGAGATATGATAGAGGTGTTCAAGTGGGTAAGTGGGATTAACAAGGGTAAAATGGAAGATGTTCTGAAGCTCAGTAATAACGAAATAACTAGAACAAATGGCTTTAAATTAGATAAATTCCGATTCAGAAAGGATATAGGCAAGCACTGGTTTGGTAATAGAGTTGTGGATATGTGGAATAGGCTACCGAGTGCTATAGTAGGATCGGGGCCGCTAGGGAGCTTCAAGACGAAGTTGGATAGGCACATGGAAGTGCTGGGGTGGGTGTGAAAGGGACCTGCCCTGTATGGGCCAGTCGGCCTCCTGCAGTATCCCACTTTCTTATGTTCTTATGTTCTTAAACTCATGTGTTGTATGAGGTAGATCTTACTGGGGATTATCCCTATACCAAGTTTAAAGGCGATTATTTCTATTGTGCTAAAAGTGGATAATCGAACACTGTCATCGACCCATTTACAGACTACCAACATATACGATTAGTATTAAAGCGGAGGTTCGTGATTTATGCTCATGATTTTAAATTTTATTTTAGAAGTTTATGAGAAAAAGATTCACAAAAGTAAATAAGTTCATTTTCAATTCTAGTCGTTAACCACATACGTATCATATTGACAGGCTCAGTTTGTTTAACTTCCATTGAACGAGTGATAACTCAGGTAAGATCTGATGATTCACAAGTGTGTTAACCACCAGACGCGGCAGTGATTTGAGTATGCAAATACTTAGAGAGAAAATACAACACGGGATAATCTCCATTGTTCTCATCACTTTCTTTCACATAAACAAACGGGTCTAGGGGAGTTGTCTGGCCGGGCTGGGTAGTGAGATGAGGGAAGAGACAGAAATATAGTGTCACACTCAGACCACTGACACACAATATATATTGCCTTAACTGTTAACACGCTAAACAAAGCAAAAATATACTGTCGGTAGCCTAATAACATAAATCCAAGATGATTAAAGAGCACACTAAAATAAATAACACTACAAAGCTGACCTGTACTGACCATGAGCTAATACTGCTACTAACACACCACCTATAATCTAAAACGGGTTATACATCAAACTCTTCCAAAAATTTTCAACTGTGAGATTTTGGAGACTAATCTCAGCCACTAATGCCAGTTAAAGGCGATGCTGTTGGTGGTTCGTGTTCACTCTCCTGGCAACACCGTATACACAGTCTGGCCTGGTATCACTGCTGATTGGGGGGGGGTGACCACTGACAGTCAATAATATATATATATATATATATATATATATATATATATATATATATATATATATATATATATATATATATATATATATATATATATATATATATCAGAAGAGTAGCGTTTTACCAAATCCGGCTTCGAAACACGCGGTTCCATATATATTTCATTAGCCCATAAAGCACGCGGACTTCTACATATAATCAAAACCTCCCCGCCAGGACTCGGAGCGGATTTGGTAAAACGCTACTCTCTGATCCTTAAGTGGCACAGAGCAATTCCCTTGGAGGTTCACGGCGCCATAAGCTCGATGAACAGGCCTTGTGTGAAATATAACAAAGTCTAGGATTGCTTTTAGTGTCCTAGTGGTGTAGAGGTAACGTTCCCCGGTCACACACAGATTGTGGGTTTGAGTCCTGGTGGGGTGAGTTGTGTGTTGATTATTAATATATATATATATTTATATATATATATAATATATATATATATATATATATATATATATATATATATATATATATATATATATATATATATATATATATATATATATATATATATATATATTGGGTAGTGGGACTTATCTTGTGGTGTTGTGATGTTTGAAACTGTCCACCAGGCAGATTGATGCCCCGGAGAGTGACTAAATTTTATTATTTTTTTTTTACAGGGATTAGCCCACATCAGGACCTGGGGGGCAAAAATATAATAATAAATAATAGTAATAATATCTATTATTATTATTATTATTATTATAATTACAACAATTAATAAAATTAATACAAATAAACATAAAATAATAATAAAAAAATAATATTAATATTAATAATAATAATAACAATAAATAAATACAAAAACGAAAAAATTAATCAAGAGTGAGAAACGATATACATTATGTATGTTGTGTTGTCAAAGTAAGAGAAACAATTGAGACCCTGCAATTGTGTGTAAATGAGGCAGAAAGTCAGATCAGCAACCTGGGACTTGGTCAGAATTTTTGTGATGCCATATGGCAGCAGGGTCTACCATTAGACAACACATTATGCTTCCAATATCTTCCCAGGCGGTAGTACCTCCCTGTTTGGTAGCTGCTTTCTACCTACTACTTTCACCTCATTTCTTACTCCAATGAAATTTGTCCAGACTTATTTAAAAACTTCTTTACAATTGCATTACTTATACCCCTTTCAGCTGTATACGTTAAGCTCTTTGTTTAAAACTACTGTGCATCTGACAATAGTCGATTTACCTTCTCTTAGTTCTACATTAGTCAAAAGGAAGCATGGGTAATAGTGGCTCTGTTATCTTCTAGCCAACTATTGAAAATCACTGGATCAACTTTGACACAAAACTTGAATCAAATCACAGGGAACCTGCAACCACAATAAACCAACACTCACAATAAAACACATACTGTACTGTCACAATAACACACCTACACTCACAATAACACACCTACACTCACAATAACACACTACACACAATAACACACCTACACTCACACACATAACACACACACTAACAACACACCTACACTCACAATAACACACCTACACTCACAATAACACACCTACACTCACAATAACACACCTACACTCACAATAACACACCTACACTCACAACAACACACCTACACTCACAATAACACACCTACACTCACAATAACAAAACCTACACTCACAATAACACACCTACACTCACAATAACACACCTACACTCACAACAACACACCTACATTCACAACAACACACCTACACTCACAACAACACACCTACACTCACAACAACACACCTACTACTACTAATTTGCTGTCACTCGTAATCGAGTATAAAGATCATGAGTTATTAAGAACGCCACCTTCGTTGGTGAGCTCTGAGGCTCTGAGGCGACTAGAGACGCCGATACAGGACCGGCAGGGTCGTCCACAGATGTTGCACGTGTGGGGGCTACATCTAGTGCGGAAGGGGCGGCGGCAGCGTTTTTCCGGCGTCGGCGCTTGTCTGCCTCGGTATGCAGTCTGGTTAACTCGAAAGTATCGACACCTTCACGTGTGGTGCTCCTCCATGCATTACGGTGTGGAGTAATCGTCTCCCAGGTGAGGGGGTCGATTTGGAACTTTTCAGGTTTGTCTTAAAACTATCCTTATACCTTTTCAGTTGCCCGCCAGAGTTTCGTTTACTATTTGTTAGGTGACTGTAAATAGCTGCTTTGGCAGTCTACTGTCGTCCATGCGAGTAACATGGCCAGTCCAGAGTAGTTGTTCATGGATAATGGTAGTAGCCTCGATGCTCCTACAATTGGTGTCAGCGAGAATACGGGCATTTGTTCTTTTCTCTCCAGAGCGAACTCAGAGGATGGAATGTGAACTACATTGGTGAAAGTTTTCAAGTGCCTTGAGGTGCCTCCTATATGTGACCCATGTCTCACTGCCATACAGCAGGTTTGGGTGGGCCACTGCTCGATACACGTGTAACTTTGTACGTAATTTCAGTTCCCTACAGCTGAAGACGCGGATATGGAGTCTACCAACGGCTTGAGATGCACATCTGATCTAAAGTTGAATCTCTTCATCGATGTCCGCGGTGGTGGACATGTGGGAGCCGAAATACTGAAAGTGGGTAACATTAGAGAGGGTAGTACCGTTAAGTTGGATGGATGGTGGAGGTGTGGCTGAACCTGGGGCAGGCTGAAAGAGAATCTGAGTCTTACGTACATTCACCCCAAGGCTGAAGTGTGCATACGCATCTGCGTAGGTGTTCAGGCAACGGATTTTGGTGAGCAGCCAAAATGGTCTGCCAGAGGGCTTCCCTGTTGACTGAGTCGAAGGTCTTGGTTAGGTCGATGTAGGCCATGTACAAGTCACAACGCTATTCTCTGCACGTTTCCTGTATCTGGTGGGCAGCAAAGATCATCTCAGTGGTGCCACGTGATGGTCTAAATTCAAATTGGGATTCTGGGAGGAAGTTTTCCGCCTCAGGAAGAAGTCTGTTTAGGAGGACTCGGGCGGTAATCTTGCCAGCTACGGACAGCGGCGAGATCCTGCAGTAGTTGCCACAGTCTGAACGGTTTCCCTTGTTCTTATAAATATTGACGATGTATTCTTAAAGACGCCTCGTCTTTAAAAACTTGGGGATTTCCTCCTTTTCCCATATACTCTCCAGGAGAGAGTGGAGACGGCTGGTCAGCAGAGGTCCTCCTGCTTTATACACCTCGGCTGGGATTCCATCAGGCCCTGAGGCTTTGTTTTTCTTCATCTGTTTGATGGCAGTAGCTACCTCATCCAGGGAGCGAATGTTAGTGCTCTTTCTAGTTGAGGGATGCCTCCTTTGTCTTTAATTAGAGAGTTACCATCGGACGAGAGGCGGGGGGGGGGTCTGCGCCATGAGTAATTGGCCCATAAAATGTTTTAGTGTTATTGAAAAATTCGTGCATTGTGTTGATCTGCAAGTTTTTGCATTTCACATGCTTTATTTTTATACCATTCGTTCTTTAGATTGCGAAGTTCGTGCTCGGTTGACACTTTCTACGTGTGGAAGGTGTCCACTTTGGTCCGAGACTGAGGGTTGTTCTGCCAGTTAGTTAATGCAGCACGTTTATCATCGACGAATACGTTGATTACCGGGTCATTTTCATCAAACCAGTCCTGGTGTATTCTTTCGATCTGGTCGAGGGTCTCTGCAGGTTTTTGTCATGACAGTGTCGAGAATATCCTATTCGGCACTGGGATTTGGGTTGTTTGTTGTTGGGTTGTTTATCAGCCCATGTTCGAGCTGCTCTCTGAAAGCATGTGCTACCGCTGGGTCTTCCAGACGTTTAGTGTTAAAACCTCTTCTGGAGACTTTTTGCCTTAGACGTTTTGGGGCGTAATGAAATGAGAGCTTGGTTCTGATGAGCAGATGATCAGTGTCGCAGTAGTCTGAGCCACGCAAGGCTCGGGTGATGAGGACATCTCGGCGATCACTTTCTCTGACAATGATGTTGTCAAGGAGATGCCAGTGTTTGGATTTTGGGTGTTGCCATGTACCTTTGAACTTGTCGGCCTGCCTAAACAAGGTATTGTTGATAGTGAGGTTGTGTGCAGCATACTTGCTGAGGAGGAGTAGGCCATTGGGATTACAATTGCCGAGTCCATTTCTCCCTATGATTCCCTGCCTAATACCAGCATCTCTACCAACTCTGGCAGTGAAGTCATCAAGGAGCACAACCTTATCTTCCCTGGGGACAGAGGTTAGCATTCATGTCAAGGTAGGCGTAAAAGGATTCCTTGATGGCATCTTCTGCCTCCAGTATTGGGGCGTATGCACTGATGAGGAAGGCATGACATGAGTGATTCAGTGGGACTCTGAGCGTATTGAGGCGCTCGTTGATCCTAACAGGCATTTCAGTTAGCCTGTGTAGGATGAATTGGCGAATGGCAAAGCCAACTCCGTAAATATGGTTTCTCTCCGCTGCAGGCTTACCCTTCCAGAAGAAGGTATAGCCAGACCCCGTTCTGTGAGTCGACCCTCGTCTGGGAACCGGGACTCACTAATGGCTGTTATTTCGATATTATACCTAGCCAGCTCTTTTACCACAAGGGCAGTTCTTTTTTCGGGACGATCATTTGTGCCATTGTCCAGAAGGGTACTGACATTCCATGCAGAGACCATAAGAAGTTGTATGGTTTGTTTTTATTTTGATTTGTGAATATGATTAAGTTTTTGACCGCATAAGGATGACCTAACTGGATGCGGTTCTTGAGGCAGGCTATGTTTAAGGCATCTTTTCTAGCCCACTCCCCATGTGGGGTGAGCGGAGTGGCTCTTCGAAAGGACTGCTCAGTCGCACACTCACAATAACACACCTACACTCACAATAACACACCTACACTCACAATAACACACCTACACTCACAATAACATACCTACACTCACAGTAACACACCTACACTCACAGTAACACACTTAAACTCACAATAACACACTAACACTCACAATAACACACCTACTCACAATAACACACCTACACTCACAATAACACACCTACACTTACAATAACACACCTACGCTCACAATAACACACCTACACTCACAATAACACACCTACACTCACAGTAACACACCTACACTCACAGTAACACACTTAAACTCACAATAACACACCTACACTTACAATAACACACCTACGCTCACAATAACACACCTACACTCACAATAACACACCTACACACCACAGTAACACACCTACACTCACACACACACCCACACAACACACCACACAACACACCCACACCTCACAATAACACACCTACACTCACAATAACACACATACACTCACAATAACACACATACACTCACAATAACACACACACACTCACAATAACATACCTACACTCACAATAACACACCCACACTCACACACACACATAGCATCACACACACACCACACTCACACAACACACACTACACTCACACATAACACACCTACACTCACAATAACACACCTACACTCACAATAACACACATACACTCACAATAACACACATACACTCACAATAACACACCTACACTCACAATAACATACCTACACTCACAATAACACACCTACACTCACAATAACACACATACACTCACAACAACACACCTACACTCACAACAACACACCTACACTTACAATAACACACCTACACTCACAATAACACACCTACACTCACAATAACACACATACACTCACAATAACACACATACACTCACAATAACACACCTACACTCACAATAACACACATACACTCACAATAACACACCTACACTCACAATAACACACCTACACTCACAATAACACACATACACTCACAATAACACACATACACTCACAATAACACACCTACACTCACAATAACACACATACACTCACAATAACACACCTACACTCACAATAACACACCTACACTCACAATAACACACCTACACTCACAATAACACACCTACACTCACAATAACACACCTACACTCACAATAACACACCTACACTCACAACACACACTCACAATAGCACTCGTACCGACATACCAATACCAACAACTCAACATAGACTAACACAACAATCTCCTTTTGTAACTTTTTACGGAATATAGACATACACAGCAACAGCAGGTCTCTGTAACACAGGAACACAGCAACAGGTACAACACACTGGCATGGCTCAACACCTACGGTTAGCACTACTAAAAGTTTTGATTTTCAGGGCGTAGCTCCAGCAAATCCACAGTGATACACCTGGTGTCAAGCCCCTTCCGACAGGTGCAGAGTCATCGGGCACATCAGGAGCGCCTTGGTACGACCCTCTTCCTCCCTCCCTCCCTCCCTCCGTGGCTGCCTGCATGTGCATGCCCCCCTCGCCCGTTCCTTCCCTCGTTACCCACTCCCTAACCCTTCATTCATTCCATACCTCCACATCCTTTCCCTCCTCACACTCTCTCTCCATCCCCATCTCCTCCCTTCAAAGTCACCTTTTCCCTCCATCCTCGCACACTCTCTCCATCCTCATCACCTTCCTCCAATGTCCTCCTCACCATTTCTCTCTTTACCCCGCACCGCTTGGCTTCCTCTGCTTTCTAGGACTATCACTTTCCGAGTTTCTGGCGAAAACGAACACTAATAACACTTTAGAAGTTCTTTTTCTTCGGGTTTCTGTTGGTGTAGACCATCTGCTCTCCAAACTTATTCTACTTGATAACCAGAGCAGAAATAAGCTTTGTGAGTTGTGACGCTGCATGTCTTTACTTTACTCACAAAAACACAATTTTAGTATAAGTGACGTAGTACGTAATGAACTATACAGTACGCTAGCTGACGACCTCACACACACACACACACACACACAAAATGCCACCCCGAAGACCGTGTCTTGAAGTGCTCACCAAAAAGAAAACATGAAAACGACCACTTTACGTATGATTTAATTTCTGTTGACTGAAGGTAAACGCTCGTCAATGTATTGGTAAACCCTCTTCTTCAAAGGTTGTAAATATATGACTTCAACAAGGACCAGTTTATCACTTCAGCAGACTGTCCCGTTTACCTTGTAATAGTCTCCCCCTGACCACAAACTACAACATATGGACACGAACTCTATTACCTCATCTTAATATTCTGGTTATTCTCAAGCTTGCATAATACCTAACCATCTTTGATAACATAATCCTCAAACACAATACAAAAACACGAATGACTACTACCTGTATATTGAGTAGGGAAACGTATAGTATATCGAGATTCAGTTGATAATTATGAATAACATGGAACAGAAGGTTTAAGTACTCTAGTCCAAGAGGATGACCAGATTGTCTTACCTCTATGTACACCTGCGTGATACAGAGGTCCTGGCCGAGCTGGCGTCCATGGCGGTGGCTGCATCTGAAACCGATTCCAGAGACCCGTCTGTGAAGCCCTCAGAAGAGGCCTCTCAGGGAGTCCTCGATGCCGTGGAAGCTGTGATAGCCTCCATAAAGCCAGTGAGTATACTGTCACACCATCATCATCACCCCCTTGAGAAACACACCGTCACCACCACCTCCTTGAAAAACACACCATCATCATCACCACCTCCTTGAGAAACACACCATCATCATCACCACCTCCTTGAGAAACACACCATCATTACCACCTCATTGAGAAACACACCGTCACCACTACCTCCTTGAGAAACACACCGTCACCACCCCCTCCTTGAGAAACACACCGTCACCACCACCTCCTTGAGAAACACACCATCATCATCACCACCTCCTTGAGAAATACACCGTCACCACCACCTCCTACAAGTCCTCTACAGCCGCGATAATTCTCTATTTACTTTAAATAACAAATTGCAGCCATTTCCATTCACCCAAGTCGAAGTCTTTTATTCAAGAAATAACCAGACGCTGAATTTTGTAACCTTGAGTTCTTTTAATACGTTGACGAAAAGGTCCATGTATGACGTTGTCTTCCGGTGAGTAATTATTCTTGCAAGCATTTACTTTTCTCTCTTTTTTTGTTTTTTTAGCAATCCGAGGCAGAGACACCAGCTGGTACTGATTCTAGTAGCCAGGGCGGTACTAGTGCAGGCGCTGAAGGTGATGCCGATGGTGACAGCGAGGGTGATGCAGCTGAGACAGGCAATGAAACCACGAGGAACGACCAGGCCAGCGGGACTGCGGAAGTTAGTGAGGCCGAAGACCCCCCCAGCAGCAACACCTCCACCACTACTACTAATTCACCAATCGAAGCGGCAGTCGCTGACGAAGGTGATCAGGAGACCTCTGAAGAACCAGACACGAAGGAACCCGAGGAGAGTAAGTAAGAGGAAGGGGAAGGAGGAAAGGAGGAAATGGGGGGAGAAGAGGTGGAATAAGAAGAGAAGAAAGGTGGTGTAAAGGAGAGTTAAGGAAAGAACGGGAGAAGAATAGATGCGTTGGAGAAAGAGGAGAGTAAGAGAGGAAACAAAGAAGGATGCGGTGTTTGAGAGGAAAGTAAAGATGACCGTAAAGATTAAGATACATAGAAGATGAAGGGAGAGAACAATGGTGGGGAGGTACATAGAAGAAAAGAGAAGGGTGAAACGTGAGAGAGTCGGTATGCAAGAGAAGTAGGACAGGAGGGTGAAAGAAGGAGGGAAGGAAGGTGGAAGAAGGAGGGCAAGGAGTAACGTAGCAGGGTGGTGGAGAAGTTATAACTGTGGACATTAGATTCTGGTCATCTGTGTTGCGGACCAAGTGTTACTTTTGTACTGCAATACGGGGTCATTACTGTAATTATGTACTCAATACGTTGTTGGTTAGATTTCCTATTAAATTAAACCCACACACTTTAAATGTATTAATATAGATGTAAAACCAATGGAATAAAAAAGCGTATTACATTAAATTTCAACGAATAAACCTACATGTCTGGAAATGAAACTTATTGCCATCTCCTTCACTTCACAGAGAAACCCCTGACCAAGGAGGAGCAAAAGGCTGTGGAGAAATACAACGGCGTCACCGACAAGCTCGTTCACGTAGTGTCGGAGTCCCTGAAGAAGAAGGTGGACTCCCTGCCCGTCACCCTGGACGAAGCGTGAGTCCTCCATATTAGACACTTCTACACATCTGATGTTATTTGACATTTACACTGAGAAAAGTAACCATTTTATACAGGAGTCAGATATCATTATTATTATTATTATAATTACTGTTATTAGCATTGTTACCACTGCAGTACTATTACCATTACCGCCATCGTCATTAATCATCATAATCATCATCATCATATTTATCACACGAGAGGCAAATACCGTGCATTAATATCTTATCTCCCTCTCCGCCTTCATCCACTAGGGCCCTGATAACTCTGGAGGAGGTCGACGTTGAAGCTGAAGCTGAACCTGAACCTGAAGTTCCCATTCCTCAACCTAATGACAAAGGAGATAAGAGGAGGAGGAAGAACAACAACAACAGAAACAGGAATGCGAATAAAAAAACTATGCAAGGATCTGAAGACGATGACGAAGTTGTAGAACACAACAATAAGAGAAAAATCAACAGTGGGGAGGTAGAGAAAACTGAGAAACGAAAGAGAAAACAGAAGAACAAGAGGAAAAACAAGAACAATAACGCACAAAAAACAGAAGAAGGAGAAGAAGAAGGAGAAGTAGCTGATGAATCGAACGATAACAACAAGAGGAACAGGAAAAAAAATAAGAAGGGCAAGAAGCAGCAGAGGAAACACAACAAGAACAAGAGAAAGAAGAACAAGAAGAACAAGACAGATGAGGAGGAGATTACGAGAGAAGCCAAGGCTCTGGAGGAGGACCAGGAGACTCGGGAAGAGGTAAAGGAAGCTATTACTGACGGAGGACAGACAAACGTTCTTCTGTTGTATAACTTTTATAAGGTGTTGTACAGTAGGTGAAGCGGACCTCAGTCCCAATAATACCAATCTAACCTAAACATCAAGGTTGGAGCTTATTAGGATTGAGTTCCACTAGATAGGACAGAAGTCCGTTAAAACTGGGACCTATAACGACTTGGGCCCATTAGGAAAAGGGTTTAGTTTCAGTAGTTAGGTTAGGCTGGGGGCTATCTAGGACGGGGCAAATCTAAGCAGCCAATCTTCTAGTCATGTCACTGTACGGTGTATACAAACGCCAGACGCTCTTGATTTCCCTTACTGGCACTGTTATCGAAAAACAAAGTCTAAAAATTCAGTCCGCAGTTGACGGTCAGCATTGTCCCTCTCCAGTAAATGCAGGAGAATGCCCCCCCCCCCCAACCCACACACACATAGTGCCTCTTGATTGTGGACAGTAATTAAGAGATATTGACACGATGTTTCTTGTCTCAGGAGAGTAAGTGACAGTTTCAAACGTGAAACTTCTCTCTTATAAAAAATGTTAGCCAGTCCTTCTCAGACAATCTAAGTTGTAATAATATTAATTTCTCATTTAGCATCTTAGTCGAAATTTATTGAAAGTTATTAGATAAGTCTATATTCAATAACTAAACCAGTTGTACCTAAAACGTGAAAACTAGATGTTTATCATACAAATTTCTTTAAAGATTGTTCTTTTTTTCTGACAGAGTGATGCTGAGGTCACCGCGGCGGAAGGTCGCAGGAAGAACCAACCCAAGAGAAATAATAAAGAGGGTAAAAGAGGGAAGAACGGGAACAGGAAGAACAAGAATAAGGATAAGAACAACAGCAAGAAAGATAAAAGGAACAGAAACAAAAAGAACAGGAAGAATAAGAATGATAACCCAAAGAGTCGCTCGGAAACGATAGAAGTAGAAGGAAGAGAAGAGTAAGTAGTCACGGCCTGTTTGTTGGCGTGTGTTGCTCTACTTCTAAACAATATATATATATATATATATATATATATATATATATATATATATATATATATATATATATATATATATATATATATATATATATATCTTGATAAAATCACACGGAAAATGGAAACAAATACCTTAGCTTTCGTCTTTATTGTGGATTTATGAATATATATATATATATATATATATATATATATATATATATATATATATATATATATATATATATATATATATATATATATATATATATATATATATATATAATCAACGACCTCACCAGCAAGGAATCGAACCCTCGACCTACTGGGTGTGACTAGGGAACGCTTACCGGCTGGATTCGGTAAAATGCTACTGACACCACATAAGAGGCACGGGCAGTTTCCCATTGAGGTTCACGGCGCCATCAGCTCGATGAACAGGCTTTGTGTGAAATATAACAGAGTCTAGAACTGCTTTTAGTGTCCTTGTGGCCTAGCCGGTAAGCGTTCCCTAGTCACACCCAGTAGGTCGAGGGTTCGATTCCTTGCTGGTGAGGTCGTTGATTATATGTTCAAAGTCCGCGTGTTATATGGACTAAAAATGAAGTATATATATGTACCTCGCGTTTCATACCAGCTGGATTCGGTAAAATGCTACTGACACCACATAAGAGGCACGGGCAGTTTCCCAATGAGGTTCACGGCGCCATCAGCTCGATGAACAGGCTTTGTGTGAAATATAACAGAGTCTAGAACTGCTTTTAGTGTCCTTGTGGCCTAGCCGGTAAGCGTTCCCTAGTCCCACCCAGTAGGTCGAGGGTTCGATTCCTTGCTGGTGAGGTCGTTGATTATATGTTCAAAGTCCGCGTGTTATATGGACTAAAAATGAAGTGTATATATATATATATATATATATATATATATATATATATATATATATATACCTGTATATATATATCTTGATAAAATCACACGGGAAAAGGGAAACAACGGAGCACCTTAGCTTTCGTCTTTATTCAAGACATCTTCAGAGGCAACTGGATTACATGGACAGAGAGAGGCTTAAATATACAGGGTGACCTTAAAAGCATGAGGCCAGGTCATAATGATGTCATCCACTAATCCCCACACCAGTTTTAGTTTATCATTTATACAGGATTAGATTTATAAATTTCTAGGTTCTCCGTCCCTATCCCAGCGTGTGTTTGCGTGTGTACAGTTAACTGCAGAAGCGCAAAAGGTAAGGTATAAGGTATTCGTAACTAGATAATACTGCTACAGCAGTGCTTCACTGTAACTACAAAGACATGAGTAGCAGCATAACGAGTGTTGTGTCCCACAGGTCAGGGCCAATGTTGCCTACCCAGGAGGAAGTACAGGCCAGTAACGCCCGCGTCACAGGTTTCACCAAGCTGTCAAGAAACGGAGACGTCTCGGTAGACCTATCTGGCAAAAACCCAAAGGTAAGTCCTCATCCTCTTGTTGGTTCTTGTATCTCACTGGTATCAAACGGATGATGGATGAGGTCAACAATATTAGTCCCTCACACCCTCTGTTTTCTGACCATTATTCCCCACTGCTTCAACATGTGTATCTCAGTGCATCTCAGCTGAAACTCAGCCCCCCTTTCCACTCTCACAAACACACGTGTACCTATGCAGCCCCTCCTGACAGCCTCTCCTTTATCTTTCTTCTTCCTTCCATCTTTCCACAACCACCCCTCCACCCTTCATGCCTCAACCATCCCCCCCAACACCTCCATTTTGATCCCCACCTCATTTCTGGGGTCGTGTGACTCATGTATCGTCTCCCTGTGTGTACAGTTCGAGGCAAGCGTCATCGTGGGACCTCTGACCGTACAGTTGGCGAACAACAGTCGAGCCCTCACCAGGTCCGAAGTCTCAGCGAATCTGGAAGCCAAGATCAGCTTCAGAGTCAGGGAGGTGAGTAGCACTCCTTTTAGCTGGAGAGATAACACTAGAATGTTACCGCGACCACCAGTGCTGGTGTTAAATTGGTGAGGGTTTGAGGCAGCGCTGTTAAAGTCAGAGGCAGGGTTTTAGGTAGACCAACTGTTCAACTTAAAGTCACTGGTGTAGTATAAGTCAATGTTAGAGCTAAAGTTAATTTAGAAATCACAATATACTGCAAGTTGGAGTCAGAGTCAAACGTGGAGTCAGATTCAATCAATGTTAAAATTCAGGTCAAATTCGGATCCAAAGTTAAAGTCAGTCAGGTTAAGTTATTTTCAGTTTGAGAGTAAATTTGACGGATAAAATCAGTGTTAAAAACAAGGTCAGATTTACAATTAAGCCAAATTAATTTTTCTGTTGTTATAATACAATGTGTGTGTGTGTGTGTGTTCACAGTGTGGTGTAATGCGTCTAATGAGGCAGCATTATGTTAGTGTTAAGGTGCAAGCACTGCTTGCTTCCTCTCGCTTTCAGCTACCGCCGCTGGCTAGACCCCGTGGCGAACAGGGAAGCAACTTGCATAAGCCTTCCCCTGCCAGTAAACAGCCTGTTCACCATCAATACTTCTGCTGTGCCTCCTCGTGGCAACACACGGTAACTGGGTGCCTCGTGGGCCCAGGCTAGACCAGCAGGGGATCTCGGAGCAGCAGTGGGCCCCAGAGAGACGGTGCAAAGGCCCACTGGCATGTGGACACGTATTGGCGACTACCAACCACTGCCCCGCTGCCTTGTGGATTAACCTTGGGAGGTACAAGACTACTGTAGCAAACCACAAGCGAAAGATCGGCGGTGGAGCCCCGCAACAGGCAGACATGATTACAGAGCTCCAACAAGACCCCAACGGTGGTGTAGGCGGAAGAGGTGACCAACATAGGAACCCAACGACGACACCGGCAAATGAAGGCAATGCGTGATGGACAGGCTATTAAGGCAAAGCCCAACAAACTGGGCTATAGGCAGTCCTTTGCAACTCTCCCTTTCCCCAGTCGTTGCAACTGCTTGCACCACTGGATCAGGAAAATGGAGAACCAAGATGTGTGGTTGCAGCCTGCGCTACCATCTCACCACATAAATCAACTCACGCGCAGCCAGCATCCAGCTCACCATACTTCTCACCAACATCAAAATACTTATACCCCCATAAGTCCTATGGCGACAGACGAATGGCGACGGGGAGAGGCAGAGATGACTGCCAGGAGTCTCTAGTCACAACTCTGCACATGGGCGGCACAGAGAAAATGGTCGTTTATGCACTGGGATCTGGCCAGCAGTGCAATCCGGTCCTGTCTGTGCGACTAAGCAGCCCTTTCGAGGAGCCACTCTGCTCATCCCACATGGGGAGGGTGCTAGAAAAGGTGTCCTAAACATAGCCTGCCTAAAGAACTACCCTGACTGGGAAACCGCACCCAGTAAGATCATCCTTATGCGGTCGAAAACACAATCATAATCACAGATCAAAGCAAAAACAAACTAAACACCCTCTTATGGACGCTAGACGGAATGTCAGGACCCTTCTGGATACTGGCACAAATGAGTGTCCCAAAAGAAGAACCGCCCTTGTGGTAAAAGAGCTGTCTAGGTATAACATCGACATAGCAGCCATTAGTGAGTTCTGGTTCCCAGACGAGGGTCGACTCACAGAACGGGGGTCTGGCTATACCTTCTTCTGGAAGGGTAAGCATGCAGCGGAGAGAAACCACATTTACGGAATTGGCTTTGCCATTCGCCAATCCATCCTACATAGGCTAACTGAAATGCCTGTGGATCGACAACCGCGTAATGACGCTCCGAGTCCCACTGAATTACTCATGTCATGCCTTCTTCATCGGTGCATACGCCCCAACACTGGTTGCAGAGGATGACATCAAGGAGACCTTTTATGCTGACCTAAACAGAGTGCTAACCACTATCCCCAGAGAAGATAAGGTTGTGCTCCTAGGTGACTTCAATGCCACAGTTGGCAGAGATGCTGACATAAGGCAGGGAATCATTGGGAGAAACGGAGTTGGCAATTGTAATCCCAATGGCCAACTCCTCCCCATCAAGTATGCTGCACACAACCTCACTATCACCAACACTTTGTTTAGGCAGGCTGACAAGTTCAAGGGTTCTTGGCAACACCCACAATCAAAACATTGGCATCTCATTGACTACATCATTGTCAAAGAAAGAGATCGCTGAGATGTCCTCATCACCCGAGCCATGCGTGGCTCAGACCACTGTGACTTAGATCATCGGTTCAGCAGAGCCAAACTCTCCCTTCACGTCGCCCCAAAACGGCAAAGGCAACAAACCTCCAGAAGAGGCTTAACACTAAGTGTCTGGAGGATCCAGAGGTAGCACATGCTTTCTGAGCAGTTAAAAATTGGGCTGATAAACAACCCAACAACAAATAACCAAACTCCCTGTGCCGAATGGGGACGCATCAAGGCTGTCATTGCAAAAAACCTGCAACGAGACCCTCGGCTTGATCAAAAGAAATCACCAGGATTGGTTTGATGGAAACGACCTGGAAAACAACGTGCTCGTCGGTGATAAACGTGCTGCCTTAACTGACTGACAGAATAACCCTAAATCTCAAATGAAAGGTGATACCTTCCACAAGCAGAAAGCGACGGCCCAGTGCAAACTTCGCAATCTAAAGAGCGAATGGTTGAAAAATAAAGCATGTGAAATGCAAACATTTGCAGATCAGTTCCTCTAAAACAATATAAGGCCCAACTACTCATGGTGTAGCCCCCCTCCACTCACCCAATGGTAAATCCCTAATTAAAGACAAAGAAGGCATCCTTCAGCACTGGAAGGAGCACTCCCATTTGCTGCTCAACCGAAACACCGATGTGGATGTCCTGACTACCCAGCAGGTCCCTCAGCATCCAGAGCTGACCCATCTCAGCTGTCTTACATCCCTGGACGAGGTAGCTACTGCCATCAAGCAGATGAAAAATAACAAAGCCACAGGGCCTGGTGGAATCCCAGCTAAGGTGTATAAAACACGGGGACGTCTGCTTATCAGCCACCTCCACTCACTCCTGGAGAATATATGGGAGGAGAAATCCCTCAAGCTCTTTAAAATGCCACGATCATCAATATTTATAAGAATAAGAGAGACCGGTCAGACTGTGGCAACTACCGCAGGATCTCACTGCTGTCTGTAACTGGCAAGATTATCAGCCGAGTATTCCTAAACAGACTTCTTCCTGAGGTGGAAAATTTCCTCCAAAATCTCAATGTGTCTTTAGACCATTACTTGGCACCACTGACATGATCTTTGCTGCCCGCCAGATACAGGAAAAGTGCAGGGAACAGCACTGTGACTTGTGCATGGCCTTCATTGACCTTACTAAGAACTTCGACTCTGTCAACAGGGATTAACAGGGAAGCCTTTTGGCGGACCCTCAGTCGTTTTTGCTGCCCACCAAAATTAATTGTTATTGTGAGGCAACACCACGATGGCATGAATGGCAGTGTCCTGTACAATGGCACCCAGTCTCAGTTCTTTTTCACCCAGACGGGGGTAAAACAAAAAGTTGAGCCAGTGCCAATTTAGCCGGCGGGTGGACACCCATTACCAGATGATGGGACTATTCAACATAAGATGACTCCAAGCAGGAACAAAGGTATCAGGAACTTCCATCACTGAACTTCAATATGTAAAAGACCTCACGCTCATCACTCACTCTGAACACGACCTACAGTAGATCCTGAACATCTACGCATATGCGTATGGACACTTCAGCCTTGAGTTGAATGTATGTAAGACTCAGATTCTCTTTCAGCCTGCCCCCTCGTTCAGCCACACCTCCACCATCCATCCAGCTTAACGGTACTACCCTCTCTAATGTTACCCACTTTCAGTATCGGCTCCCACCTGTCCACCACTACAGACATCAATGAAGAGATTCAACATCGGATCAGATGTGCATCTCAAGCCTTTGGCAGACTCCGAACACGTGTCTTCAGCTGGATGAAGCTGAAACTATCTACAAAGTTGCACGTATATCGAGCAGTGGTCCTCCCCACCCTGCTATATGGCAGCGAGACATGGGTCACATATAGGAGGCACCTCAAGGCACTTGAAAACTTTCACCAATGTAGTCTACGTTCCATCCTCCGAGTTTGCTGGGAAGACAAGAGAACAAATGCTAGTATTCTTGCTGACACCAACTGTAGGAGCATCTAAGCTACCATTATTGATGAACAACTACTTTGGACTGGCCACGTTACCTGCATGAACGACAGTAGACTGCCAAAGCTGTTACTTTATAGTCACCTAACAAATGGTAAACATAACGCTGACAGACAACGGAAAAGATACACCATAAGGAGTCTTAAGACAAACCTGAAGACGTGCCAAATCGACCCCCTCACCTGGGACATGATCACTTCACACCGTAACGCTTGGAGGAGCACCACACGAGAAGGTGTCAATATTTTCGTATTAGCCTGACTGCATACCGAGGCAAATAAGCGCCAGCACCGGAAAGTCACTGCCGCCGCCCCTCCCACAAAATCTGTGGACAGCCCGTGGATCCCGAATCAGCCTCCTTAGTCACCTCAGAGCTCACTAACGATAGTGATATCCTTAATAACTCCTATCATTGTATCATAGCTGGATGATCGTATACTCGATTCCGAGTAACAGAAAAGTAGTAGCGGGACCCCGTTGCAATGGCAATGTATGCAATTGGCCTATCAGTGCTCCAACAAGAAATAAAATTTGAAACAACTGGGGTCAAACAAGTGGCATATGCTGATGACCTTACAGGAGCAGGAAAAGTGGAGTGCATCAAAAAGTGGTGGGACCTGGTAACATCGCGAGGTCCACAAATAGGGTACCACCCAAACGCTAGCAAGTCCTTCCTCATCGTGAAGCCAGAACATTATGAACGGGCTTTGGAGGTTTTTGGCGGAAGTGAGGTCAAAATAACTAAGGACGGCCAAATACATCTAGGCGCAGTAATTGGCACTACGGACTTCAAGACCGAGTACGTAGCGGGAAATGTGAATGAGTGGGTTAGCGAAATCCAAGCTCTATCTGAGATTGCTAACACAGAGCCACATGCGGCCTTTGCAGCATTCACCCATGGAGTCAAGCATCGCTGGAACTACCTGATGCGTACCATCCCTGAGATCGGACCCCTCCTCCACCCTCTGGAAGAAGCTATCAGTGTCAAGTTCATTCCCAAACTAGTGAAACACCCTGACTTAACCCCAGCAGAAAGAACACTTCTTGCACTTCCACCAAGACTGGGAGGGATGGGACTAACTAATCCAGAGGAGATTGCTGACACTGAACATCAAAATTCACTTAAGCTCACGGCAGCCCTCACTGACCACATAATAGCCCAGAATGCAACAGGGGAAGTGGACACCAGCGAAGTAAATAAGATCCGTAGGTCCATTACAACAGATCGGCAGCACTGCCAAAATGACATGTTGCAGCAACTATTGCTGCAGGTTCCAGAAAATTTGACAAAAAAAGTAGCTATAGCGCAGGAGGTGGGCGCCTCGAACTGGCTAACTACGTTACCGATAAGGGCAAATGGTTTCAGCCTTAACAAACAAGAATTTACAGATGCCATTGCTCTAAGGTAGGGTTGGCCAGTAGATGGTTTGCCCTCCCAATGCGTGTGTGGCTCTTCCTATGATGGCGATCACGCCATGGTCTGCAAGAAGGGGGGCTTCATATGCATGAGGCATGACGAGGTAAGGGATCTCACAGCAAATATGTTGAAGGAAATCTGCCGGGACGTCATGGTAGAACCGACCCTCCTTCCACTGGATGGCGAGATCTTCCAACACAGGACTTCAAACACATCTAACGAAGCCCGTGTGGACGTCAGTGCTCGAGGATTCTGGACGCGGGGACAGCGAGCTTTCTTCGACATCAGGATTTTTGATCCCATGGCCGCTTGTCACCGTAACCTAGCTCTCGATGCTGCACATAGGAGGAACGAGAACGACAAGAGAAGGGCATATGGGGAGAGAATTCAAAATGTTGATCAAGGCAGCTTCACTCCTCTAGTGTTCACAACCTCTGGTGGGATGGGCCCAAGTGCAAGATGTTTCTACGCCAGACTCGCGGAGTTGATCTCCGAACAGAAGCAGCAGCCCAGAAGTTATGTTACAGCCTGGATGAGATGTCGACTGTCCTTCTCTCTCCTTCGGTCGGCTTTGCTCTGCCTCAGGGGAACGAGAGCTTCTGCCCCTACTCAGACAACTGCTGCAGATATTGACTATGAGGCTACAGTCACTGAATGCCGCATAGATCTGCGGCTCAACTAATTTAACACAGATAGGATAGCTACTTATGCATTAGGATATTTAATATTAAGGTAATAAAATGGTGGCGAAGGTATGGCTATTGGGGGAGGCTGGAGGCCATTTTATTTTTTTTATTAAGTAGTAGTCGTAGTAGTAGTAATAGTAGTCGGAGTAGTAGTTGTTGTGTGTGTGTGTGTGTGCACGCTCATGTGCAGGAGGATTAGTAATTACGGATGCAAGACACCCTAATGCATGATAAGGAATTTTGCACAGCGTATGTAACTTGACGTCCAAACATACTCTAATAACCTCCTCTTCCAGACTCGTGGCCGTGAGAAGCTGAAGCTGATCAGCCTAGACATGACCAAGATGACCCCGAGTGAGGTCAACGTGCTCCACTCTGGCCTGGAGTTGGAGCCTCAGCTGGTTACTTTAGTCCGGGAGCAGGTCAGTGTTCCACAACCACCCCGATGGTTGTTGTGACTAGTGATATCTCCTGTCTCTTTTGGACCCGAATTCAGAACAGTGATTTGAAACCGCATGAAGGTTTAAACCAAGGATCGAGCGATGATTGAAGATTGTTGGCATTCAGAACGCTGGCTTGAGCTAACACAAAGATCGGAATTGTCGAACCTCGCGTTAATCCAGCCTGGAGGCAGATTTAGCAGTTGATCTTTCAAGCAAGTCAACATGAATTTTGACAGAGCGCGGTTTTCGGCGATATTATCAAATTGGAAATTTTGTAGAGAGAAGACTGGTAGAGAGGCAGAGTCCTATCAATTTTTATGATGACACGCAATTTAAACAACGATATAGGTTCAGCAAGGGAGATACTTTCCGTGATATGGAGCATCTACTTGACAGACCTGTTGGCTATGGTTCACCTCTACCTTCCATTCATCAGCTGATGATTGCTTTGAGATTCTTCGCAAAGAATAGTTTCCGAATAAGAAAGATTCTGGTTACTGAACGAGTTATGGTAATGCGCTACAACACTTTCGTGTTTAGGGTCCATGAAGATCAAGCAGGTAAATGTAAAGAACGCTGACGCTTCTTTATTTTGAGTGTTTTTCTTTAGGAAAACTAGTTTGATCTATTTTCAATATAATTGAATCAATGCTGAGTGCATTTTGATTTTAATGTATTAACAAAGGAAAGTCTTTTCTTAACATTACTAATCAGGGGATTGTGGGGTTAAAGGAACAGAAAGAAACCTAACCTAACTGAACCTAGCCAGGTTACTACGCCCTGCATTGATTCATCTTGTTTTGGTTATGAATATTGACACCTGTCCCGGATTATATCTACAATTTGAATGTAATTGTTCTTCCTCTATGAATTTCTTTAGCATATAAAAACACAGCCACGTTCTAACACAGTACCATAAATCATTATAATTTGATCATAATTTGATTGTAGTTATAGTAATAAAAGTAACTTATGATGTACAAGGAGAGAGTTCTCCACCTCCGTAAAAATTCGTCGAGTCATAGTTGCCGCCATAATCTTGTAAACATTACTCTCGATGGTGACTGGCTTTCGTAATGGTGTAGATGAAACGTGATTGGCTGGAATTTCAGTGTTCGAATCCTTGCGTGGAATTGAAGAAAATGCAACAGATTACCCGATCCGGGATTCAAGTCGATGTTCTGAATATGGGTAATCCACTGCAGGAAATCTCTGCCCCAGGAATCCTGATTCGCACGCCTGAGCCGAGCTCAAATCCCGGGCTCAAACTACCGTTCTGAATTCGGGCCTTGGCGACTTGCTTATAATTATCTCTTGGCTAGTGGCTAGTACTGTCCCCTGGCTAGTGGCGAGTACTGTCCCCTAGCTAGTCGCTAGTACTGTTTCCTGGCTAGTGGCTAGTACTGTCTTTTGGCTAGTGATATTGCTTGGCTAGTAATGTCTTTTAGGTCAAGCTTCTTTCTTCGTTAAAGCTCTCGAACGAGCCGAAATTCTCAGCTAGTTGTGTGCAAAGTTAAGCCGTCAACGCCTACTAATTTGCCTCATGGATGGTGATCACTGAAAAAATACAGCTTGTGTGTTTTGACATTTTGAGATATAAACATGCAACTAGGATTTTAAATTTAGCATTCATGGGAAAATGCACCCAAAAGAGTAGTGTAATCCCACTATACTTCATTTTCTAACTAGGTTAACTTGTGGGGTTTTGAGATATTAGTTCACACTCAGGATGGGTTGGAGAAAGGAAACTCACAATGTGCTCTGTGTATACATACTGTATTGGATGTACAATGCTTGGTGCTGGGGAGTGGCAGCGTGGTTACAGGCGTGGAGTACAGTAGAGAGAGCTGGTTGGGGAGGGTGCTCAGAGGAGGACACGCAGCTTGTGGGGCGCCATAGTCGCCGGCGAGAGCGAGAACCACCAGGCAGGAGCAGAGGATGTGTTGCTTGCTGGTGGCTGTAGGTAGAAGAAGGCAGGTCACGGCGGGGTGAGGTCTTATATAGCGGGGGTAGGCGTGGTTTGATAGTTGACCTCCGCCTTGTTAGGCGGCGCTAGTTGCCGACCTAGACCACTAGGGGTAAGCTGGGGAATTCGAAGAGGGTCGGCTAGTCAGTGACAAACGGCAGTTGAAGTTGTAGGAGAGATATCCACTACAGACTCAGAGATTATGCACCTAGGCTCTGGTCTAGAGCTTGCGGGACGACTTTACCTAAGTGTGAATCAGATTATGTTAGGGTTCGTTGTATATACAGAATTTTTTCTGGATAGTATTAAATTACAGTATTGTGAATAGGGATCCGAGTCTATTTTCTAACATGGCAACCGAGATGGTAATGGCGGAGGAGACGGTTAACACCAGAATCAGTGGAAAAAAAAATGCACGAAATATAAACACTGTTTTTGGTGTTATCCGTCTCCTCCACTATTACCCCAAGAATTTCTGGCGTATCAACAACTATCATGAACCTAGAGATGTGAATCTAAACTCACAGACCTACGGGTTATGGTTGTTTTAACTGTTGAGTTACCCCGAACACAAAATACAGATTTCTTTCTCAGTAGCTCATCATCACCAAGCATATGGAATAAGACAGTAGTAGGGCAGACTCTCATGTAACGTAGCTTCTACTTTTTTTTCAGTTCAGTTGCCTGTTTCTTGCAAGAACATTATCTAATTGCCATATCCTTTACTTCACAATTCATGAAATGACAGAGAAACATTTCCCTCTTTGCTCGATCTTCGCTCATCAATTTCACTGTTTCAGATGACTTGGTATTGCTCACGTCCTGAGCTTGGTACTTATGAGCTATAGGTAATCAGTCATCCGGTTCATCCATAGAACAATCTATCTCTCTTGCCAAATTCAATTTTAGTATTTCCACAGCACATAATCAATACAAAGCGCTCAGAGTTCCCTTCTCTCCGTTTAACACTCTTGACATCACAAGCCATATAAAAAAGTAATAATTTTTTTTTGATACTTGGAACAAATCTGTCTGTTCTGTAAAATTTGATACCCAATAATCCAGTTTGTGCATTTAAGGTGATATAACAATTTCGTAGATAAATACTAATGAAGTATAGTACTTAATGTCCCTTTCTCCCTGACAGATGGTGCTGGCTGTGGATGAGGAACGCATAGGCCGCATCGTAAGTAACGAAGTGGAAACCGTGCTGCTCAAAGACAATGTCATCCAGAACCTGGAAGATCATCCTTCCCTCAAGCAGTAACCTTCTACTCTTTATGACATACATACAGACCTCATGAGTCTTATTTTTCACTTTATCAGATATGTTACTTAACTCTCAAGTTATGTAAACTGCACCTACATACGTGCCCACATGTGTCCCCCACTGAACCAGTTTAATGAAGCTAATCCTTCATGTGTATATTCTACCAGCACCCCATATCCCGTCCAATGACTGATGAGAGACCCAGATATGCAGTGTTAACCTTACGAATTTTTTCTCGTTGCTCAACTAATGCATCTATCTGTAGCACCTCTACAGTGTAAGGCTTCGCCGGCGGTGACCGGTGAGCAGACAGGAGAGGGGTGCCTCCACCACTAACGAAGTCATTATATTATACTCCCGCTGTTGTGTTTCATCCTTCTTGACGTCCGAAAGAACAAGACCTCTCATACTGCACAACCACGATAGTATCAACGTTGAAATATTCCCCGATGACGATAGTCACGCTGAAGCTGACGATGTTCGAGCTACTGGTCCTGAAGCTGAATAGGTCAAGTTTCGAAGCTGAGGTAGTGGATGATACAGCGGGCAACACTGAGGGCGACGCTGCCCCCCTGTGTAACACTGTCTTATCTGGCGATGGAAATACTTTGGCTGCCGGTCACTATTCAGTCAGGCTAGACTCTTTACTATCTATTTCCGGGTCAGATTTCTACTATTGACAATGTCGACTCGGGCAACCATTAAATGTACTGTACAGTCAATTCTTCTTGGAAGATCCTTAATACCGCTTTTCTATGGCGGAAAAAAATATACATGTAATAAGGACACAAGCTTAAAACATAAGTGCATCACATTCTCATTATAATAACATTTTCACATAGGTCATCCCTATTGCCACATTCTTACTTTGTGTAAATAGTGTGACAAAAACCATTATCATGTGTATTTTATTTAATATTTATTTATAAGTATTGTGTGAAAGCTTTTACACGTACGGGCAATTAAACGCATAATAAATACTTAATAAAACTGCATTGTGTAAAAATTTTCTTCGTAACCATTGTAACAGGGTTTAAATGTAAAGAGGTAATACTGTAGTGACACAGTAAATTACACCGAGAGGAAAAAAATAAAGAAGTACTAAGATCGACAAAAACTTCAAGAGAAAGTACTTAAAATTTATAGAACAAAGGAAAAGGAGATACTTTGGTAATACAATTAGGGACGAGGGGATAATAGACATATAAATGGAGGGCCAGGGACGGGCAGAGACTGGGATGAATGAATGGAATTAAAAACTGAGTCACCAGAGATAGGTAATGTCTAGGAGGTCTCGTAAAACAGCACATACACGTTTAGAGTGGAGGACTGTGGTCGCCAACCCTCAGATATGAGGATGGCAGACACTTTTGATTGCTTGAGTGATTGATACCAGCGAACAGAAGTCACCAAGGTGGAGGGTATAAAAACAAGGTATTTATACCCTTAATTTTCCCGAGGTTTAGGGTCTGTGCATTATACATATCCCAGTTCCTAAAGTTGACTAAAACACGATTCACAGTACATGTTAAAGAATGAGTATTTGAATGTACCACACACAAGGGATACTGGTGTCCCCAAATATAGCTGTATACGGCATAAAAAATATAATTTACTTACTACAATAACAATGCTGATCAAAGAGTAAAGTCATTAACATATTACACAGTGGGAGAAACGACTCAGCTGGCGGTCATAACGTAAGACTAGGCCCTAGTGTTTTGGTGTAGAGAGTAAGATGGTGTAGTGAATAATATTAGAGGTTATCGTCTATCTCCCTCTCTAACATTTATTCTACTTCTTTGTGCCTCCTTTCTTTCATTTCCTCTTTCTGTCTCTTTCTACCTTTCTTCTCTCTGCTCCTATCTACAGGTCTTCCTCGGATATATCCTCTCATCTGGGTACGTGACCATATAAGGCAGCTTTTACACTCCCCAGCAGGCGTCTGAGTGCTGGTGGCCTCCCGCTCTTCTTGGCCTCCCACTCTCCCTGGCCTCCCATCCTCTCTGGCCACCCTCTTCCCCCTGGCCTCCCGTCCCCCATCTTCCTTGGCCTCTCGTCCTCCCTGGCCTCCCTTCCGCCCTGGCCTTCCATCCCTCTTGACCTTCCATCCTCCTTGGCATCCCGTCTATCACCGTCCTCCCTGGCCTCCCATCTTTGTTCGAGCCTTCTTCAAACGGAGTTTCCAGTGTGTGTGTGTGTGTAATAATAATAATAATAATAATAATAATAATAATAATAATAATAATAATAATAATAATAATAAACGGTTTATTAATCGAGTTGCAGTCGGTGGCTGAAAATATACAAACTTACATGTGATTTAGACATAATAATATACGTTCAATACATTTACAGGGCTGTACAGTGCATAAATCAGGAGCTGTTTATTATTTTAACAATAGATGGGATGGTGCTATTCTTATATCTATCAGTGCGGGCTCTTATGGGCTGAATTTTGTTGTAGTGGCGGACTGCGCGAGATGGGCGGGGGATTGCAGGTGGCAGGAGGTGGCGATGGCGAGGATGGTGCAATAGTCCACTAGCAAACCCTGCTAGTGCGTGGTGGTGGAGGTCACTGAGGGATGGCATTTCCATGGTGGAGAGAGCGTTGTTGTAACCGGAGTAGTCTGCGCTGAGCATGATTCTGTAGGCCCTCTTCTGTACCTTCTCTAGCTGACGTTGTTGGGTAGAGTTGAGAGAAGACAACCAGGCTGGTGATGCATAGGTTAATTTGGGGAGAATAAAGGCGTTGTAGATAGTCCTCAGCTCTGGCGTGGGTGCCCCAAGTGACCTGAGTCGTCATAGCATGTAGAGTCGGTACGAGGCTGCCTTGATTGTGTTGTTTACATGGGCATTCCAGTCCAGTTTGTGGTCTATAGTTACACCCAGGAGTTTGGCAGACTGCACTAATTGGAGATGATGGGCACCCAGTGTAACTGCCGGAGCTTGCACTGGAGTGGTGGCGGTATTGATGTACATGACTACGGTTTTGGTGTGATTGATGGTGACCTTGTTCTCCGTGGTCCATGCCTGTAGCCTGTCCAGGGTGCCTTGTAGCAATGAGTAGTCCGGTGAGGTGTTGTCCACTGTAACCCCCCACAGTGCAGTCATCCACGTACTTCCACCTGTGAGGAGTGTCCGATAGAGCGTCGTTGATCAGGATTAGGAAGCACAGTGGTCCCATCTTGGTCCCCTGGGGAACACCGCAGGTGAGGTGTTGGAATGTGGAGACAGAACCCTGGTACCTCACTGCCTGACGACACTCACTCAGGAAATCAGTGAGCCATGAGACCAGGTTGGTGGACAGCCCTAGTGCAATGGCCTTGTTGATAACAGTGCAGTGATCAACAAGGTCAAAAGCCTTCCTGAAGTCAACAAGGGCAACGGCCAGTGATGTCTTACATACGCCTGCGTGTGTGTGTGTGTGTGTGTGTGTGTGTGTGTGTGTGCGCGCGCGCGTGCGTACTTCATGCATCCTGATGAAATTGTCTACGTATCCTCAGTTTCTAACCAATGATAACTAATAACACACGTAAGACATTATCTTTAATTCATGATGTGAGAGCCAAAACAAGCTGTCAGACACACCTTTACTAACAACGACCCCTAAGGTAAAAATGGATGAACCTGAATGCGGTAGTTGATTGACTTGCAAAACGGTTCGCTGAGCCCCGCCACCAGTGTTGTCTTGACATGTTTCTTAAGCATTCACCTTGGAGGTTAATGTCTCATAAACAGAGTAAGAATAAAGTGTCATGACCCTACACCATCGACTCTACCTACTGAGTCATGACCCCTAACACAGATAAGTCAGCCAGACCTGAGTTAACAAGCTAAATTATCCAGACTTTTTATTCCATACACATTCTATTATCAGGTATGTTATAAAATTCTAGAAAAGTAAAAAAAATAAATCGATAGAAATCATTAATATCGACAGAACCGAAAATACTACTGGAATGACAGAATACACAGGTCCCATGATTGATACTCTATAGTGGAAGAGAGAGGAAGCAGCTGGTACTCTCTCAACTCAGCACTATTGACACACAACTCCAGTTTACACTACTAAAGTAGTTTACAAAAAAAATTCTGGGTTGGATAATCCAAACTCTTTGAGTAGTCTGGAAGCCAAGCTCTCTGGGGAAAAGTTTAGAGAGTGGGAAGGCATCTTCATCACACACATAAATAGTATACAGTAACTTGTCCTCTCGATCTACCCAAGGCACCCGTTAGATTTCTTAGTCAAAATGTACATAAATACACACGAACAAAATAGTAAATAAATAAAATCAAGATAATCAACAAAACAAGTAACATAGAGGGAGTGAAACATTACCACTGTGTGTACTGTTGGTACATAATGGCTGTGGTGAGGAGCAGTAGAGGGAGCAAGTGGTGGTGTTAACAACACGAGATGTCCACCACAGTCTACACAGGTCGCTCATCGTCTCTGAGATAATACTAATGGAAAAAAGCTTAACCCTTAAACAGTGGATATAAGGATTCCCTAATCCTCCCCACTAGGCACAATAACTGGAACGGAAGGAACATGAAACATTCATTTATGTTCATCGTTGTCCCTAAAGCCAATAGTCCAGTAGAAATTGACACAAACATGGCCGAACCCAGACATTTGGTACAACAAGCAAATTTTTTTGCCAAGTCTTTCATATTGATATCTTGGTATTGCCAAAGAAATTCAACCTCAATCAAGCTTTGGGAAACCTGTGTTTTGACCATTTAAACTCCGAATTCACAGGTGTAGATGGGAGATCATTTTAATAAGGATCTCAAAAGTTATGTAATTTATATCTAGGGCTATTAACATTGCGGAATAATCCACATACAAGATTTGCAGTATAATGCCCTTAATATAAGATTATTAACTCCAAAAATATATAGGAAAATCGGACATGTTAAGTATATTGTATATTTTTCACAGTATTTTTTTTCGTTAAGTACCACTATGAAGACAGTATGTAGGTAACATGCATGAGCATAACCTTGGGTAGGTCAGTGACTAAGTACCAAGTCAGCGGCAAGCCGCCTGCAGTGCTGCAGAGTTGACAAAGGTCGCTCACTCGCCCCATGCAGTCCTTCTCCCTCAGTTGAGAGAGGACTAGAAACTGAAGGCTTTACCTAAAAGCTACACAGCTGATGCTTCCATTTTTTGTTGCAGCGGAACACAACAACTACATAAAATGCTGCCGTCTCTACTTTCAGGATTGTCAAGAGCTATGCCAGTCTAGAATCCTTCATGGAAGATGATGGTTTTTCCACAGTACGCAGGAATGATCAAATGTTTTGGAGTGGAACATGGTCTGATATGGTAATCGAACAGTGCCTCATGAGGGCTGGCAAAACCCAGGGTGAACTTATTAATATAACTCAAAGAGTCGGCCAGGACAAAATGGCTACTCGCGGCACATGTTGTTGCCCAGTACAAAGATGCTCTACGCGCCTTGACAAATACCTTCACTGGCACGTGGTCAGAACAGCACAAGGATATCCACCCAGGATGCATCAAACGTGATCAGAAGATCCTCTAGACATTTGTAGACTTCCTGCAAACTCACAGACCATTCACTATTTAAAAGGATCATGAATTTACAATTATTGCAACAGGGCTAATAGCCGAGCAACGGGTTAATGCTGAGGATTTTCTCAATAATGGTCAGACAATTCATGACCGATTAACGGATCAAATATTTGGAGACACTATTCAAAGGAATTCAGATCAGGCAACCTTTTCAGTTATGCGGAAGGCCATCGGAGTAGCTGGTGAGGATGTGAGGATGTCTTCTGTAGAACTGTACCACCGTCTGCTCTCTTCCACTTACTTAGATGGACCTCCAGACCCAAGTGTATTTGCCCATGAGCTGGCAAGACATATACAGATGATTCCAGATATCACTGCAAAAAAATAACAAAATGCTGCCAGAGTGATTGATGGTTGTGGTATGCTGCACCGCATAACTTGGCCAAAGATAGTCACCATTGCTTTAGTTTGTGATTCATTTGTCTCTGCATTTACTCGTGAAAAATACCTGGAGTACATGTATGGGTAATTTTTGATAACTATGATGTCGTGACAACCAAAGACCCAGAACAAAATGCCATCGGTTTCAGCATCTATCATTTCATGATGGATTGGTTGAAGACAAGACATCTGTTCCACAAAACAACACAGCTTTCCTTTCCAACCAAAAAACAAGCATAGTTTGATAAGACTTCTAAGTTTACATCTGAAAAATGCTAGTGAATATGTGAAGCATACTGAAGATGAAAGAGATGATGATGTTGTGATAGTCAAAAAGGCCCTGGAACTGGCACACAGTCAGATACCCGTTATTGTCATTGCATATGATCTGACATTCTGATCCTCCTCCTTCTCTATCATGCCAAGTGAACAAGTGATGTCTTCCTTGGCACAAAGAAATACACAGTCTCCATTAGAATTGCTCAGGTTTGGGGAGGAGAACTCTGTATGTGGCTCTTGTTTGCTCATGCTATGTCTGGTTGTGACACAACCTCAGCTTTGTATGGCATGGGTAAGCTCAAACAGTTTAAGGCCTTGAAATCATCACAAAAGCTAAGGTTAGATGTACTTATTTATGTTGATACAACAGCATCAAAGGAAGAGCTACGAATTGTTGGGAAGCAGTTTCTGGAACCCTTGTATAGTGGTCGAGCATCATCATCCAGAGGGTTAAATGAACTACGTTATATGTATGTAATATCACCAAAATATGTGTCTGTGGAACGAATGCCTCCAACAAGTCGTGGCATGTACCTCAACAGTATCAGAGTACATCAACAAGTATCCACCTGGCGACACCTTGGTACACTGCTCAACAGGGAGGACTATGGTTTTTCAGTGGAATCTGGCCATATTCTTCTAATTATCACAAATAAATCACCAGCACCCCCTGACCTGTTTCGTCATGCAAGGTGCTCTTGTAAGAGCAGTGTTCGATTATATGTGTCTTGCAGCTGTTCCAAGAAAGGAATCCCCTGTAGTGTTCATTGTAAATGTGCAGGACAGTGTGAGAACTCCCCGCTTAAGTTGCAGGTTAATGACTCTGTGTAAGACATCGTTTTGAGTTCAGATTAAGTACAACATCTTCCGATTCATAGATACGCATATTTTGCAATGTATCATTTTGTGTTATAAATTGGATAACATGCACTGACAATAAACCCATCCAACATTCAAAGGCCTGTGTGTGTAATATATAAAAATGTAGAGTGCAAAGTAATGGGAATACGGTTGTAAATTGAAATAAATATTTAGTGTTCCATACATATTTTCAAATGTGATAACTCCTTATGAAATATGGGTCAGTTTTCGTTATTAAAGAAACTGTTTAGTTACTTTTACATTAAGCTTGTATAGTCAGTATGCATTATTTACAATGCCATAGACATTGATATATTTAATTATTATTTCAATCTTTTGAAGCTAATGAAATGCAGTTTGAGAAATATGTACTACATATCATTAAACCATTGATAAACTTTCTATACCATGTGACTTATATAAAAGATAATACTCCATAATTTTTGTTCATATTCTTGGTCGTTATGGTTCCCAAATTGAATTGAATTTAAAAAATATAGTTCCTCAGTGGTGAATTTGGTTGAATTTGGGGGGAATGTTTGTGTGCATCTATACAAAGCACTTTCAACATACATTATCTTATTAAACCAAATGTCCGGGTTCCTGTCAGTTTCTCCTATAACTTCAGTTGCTGCTGGCTGCCGTTTAAGGTTATGTATGACATCCTCCGTGTTCGCTGGAAAGACAAGAGAACAAATGCCAGTATTCTCGCTGACACCAACTGTAGGAGTATCGAAGCTACCATTATCCATGAACAACTACGTTGGACTGGCCATGTTGCCCGCATGGACGACAGTAGACTGCCAA